CCCACACAGAAGTACCTGCACCTGCTGAAGCATCAGCATCCCACACAAAAGCACCTGCATCTGTTGCAGGCCTTTCTGAACCACCAGCATCCAAGCCTAGGGGTCCAAATTTGCACCAGTCACCACTGATCTTACAACAGATTTGCCCACCTGGTTGCAGCTTTAGGTTGAACAGATACTTGGTGAAGTTCAGTATTCCCTGGTTTCCTTTTTTAGATGCAAAACAAACAAGTTAGGGTTCTTCACAGTTTAGAGACAGTCTTTTGAAGGTTGCCCAAATTGGGGTGTTCCAACTTTGAGGGAGTGAATGCCCAAGTGTTGATTCATTCCCTGCAGCTGAGGCAATGATCACAGATGGACAGCAGCATTCCATGCTTCACTGAAGCTACCATCCTTTTCCAGGTCTTTCAATGCAAAAGACAAAGTTCACTGGCAATCCAAGCTAAAGGAGGTACACGCTCATGCTTGGAAAGTGTGGACAAAAGAATTGTCTACAAAAGTTCTGTACAAACTTTCAGAATCCAAAGTTCAGAAACCAGGAGAGGTTGCTGATTCCATTCTAAAAGAACTGGACAGCATACTGTGTCAGTTACCACCCAAGACCAAGTACAGCAGAACCTCATGATGGGAGGTGAAAAAAGAGTGTCATAGAGATGACTGAGTGCAGCAGCTGTGATAATTTTTTGTAAGTATTCCTAATGTGGAAAAATTTGTTTTAATGTTTAATAATTTGTTTTAATATTTTCTAATGATTAGCAATGTTTCTCTATGTTTCAATATTATTTGCTATGAAATCAAATGGTTTCAGCACTGTTGATGAGCTACCCTATGATCAGCCACCCTAGTGGCATGAATGAGCTTCCCCCAGCGACTTACCTCAACATATGCCTTGGCTTGAGGTTGTGGCTGGCACGGAAGACCTTTGGAAGGGCTACCGCCAAAACCATCCCTTGAAAGATCATATGTGTGTAAACATCATCACTTTTGTTCATCCACATTCCAAAAAACGTGTCTATGCTCAGTTATACGGTCTGCCATTCGGCCTTGCGTCGGCCGTCAATCAATTTAATCGTGCCCCGCAACTCTTCACTGCTGTTTGTCGTCGTGTTTTTTCGATGGTTGCCGGACATTATTTTGATGATTCTATACAGTTTGAGTATGCCCACCTCGCTGGTGCTCACAAGACTCTGTTCATCCGCATTTTGGAGACTTTTGGCGTTCTCATAGGACACCATAAGCGCCAACATATGACCTCCATGCCCCGTTTTTTGGGAATGGTCACTGACCTCTCCCGTCTCAATGACGAGCATGTTGTCACCCTCACATCTTGTCCTGAAACGAAACAGCGAGCGCTGCGGATGTTGTCCGCATTCTTGTCCAGTGGTCGTGTCACACCTGCTGAAGCCGCTAAGGCCCGTGGCCTCCTCAATTGGTTAGAAATGTCGCTCTTGGGCAAACCTCTTACGGCTGCCTTCTCCGGCCTCATCGCCCGGCAGTACTTCGACCACACCAATGCGTTAACTCCCAGCTTGGCACTCTGCCTTCAGTACTTGCAGCTGGCCCTCTCGATCGTACCATCTCGCCGTGTGCCCGTATACCCCCGACTCACGGAACCCGTCATCGTCTACACTGACGCATCCACTGCTGCGCCAACTCCGCTCGGCTTCCGCCTAGGCATTTGGATCTTGTGTGATGAGCGTATTTGGGTTGACAGCATTGATGTTCCCAAAGAGGTTGTTGTGACCTGGGCACCTCGCCGGACTTACATCAACCTACTTGAACTACTCGCCGTTCCTTTGCTCGCAGTATCTGCTCCAGAGCTTCTCAGAAATCGTGACGTCCTGTGGTTCCTTGACAACCAAGCAGCCTGGCGAGCTATCATTCGATCTGCCTCCTCAGCTATTTCTGATGTGTTCTGTCTTTGTGGAATGTGTCATTTAGCTGGGGAACGACCCTCCGAACGACATCCAAAACGACATTGGAACGACCTCCTAAACTACGTACATCATGTATTTGCTGCTGCTGCTCTTGCTCCTCTTGCTCCTCCTGCTCCTGCTGCTCCTGCTGCTCCTGCTGCTCCTCCTCCTGCTGCTCCTGCTCCTCCTCCTCCTCCTGCTGCTCCTGCTGCTCCTGCTGCTGCTGGTGCTGCTGCTGGTGCTGCTGCTGGTGCTGCTGCTGCTTGCTACTACTATCTTTATTACTATTATTGCTACTGCGACTGCTACTACTACCATTACTACTACCACTGCTGCTACTACTACCACCACCAGCTTGGAAATCGCATGATTTGCTGTTGGGATCAGGATTTTAGTACGAGTTTTTTTCCAGCTCACGTGTAGTTACCGGAAGGAGGTATACCTGCAGCTATAGGATGAGAAGAAGGAAGTTGTAGGGTGATAAAGAATTGCAGGCGAGGTGAGGATGAAGAGGATTTGTGATGTAAACATGTTGCTTTGTTTTGGCCTCGTCGACTCTACTTCTTTATTGAACAATATGTTAAGTTTTGAATTGAAGGTATCAAGGCTTGGGCTTGGGCCCTCCAACGGAACCATGACTACCTGTTTCTGCCTGCTGGATTTGAGAAAGCATTCCAACGGACTTCTGAGGTACGCGATTGCATTCCAAGAGCGCATGACCATCCCTGATGACAAGATGGAGTATTACAAGGACTGGAGAATGTGAGAATATAGTCAGAATAGCGTAGGTTGGAGGCCATCGCTAGTAGGGTGGAGGCCATCGCTAGTAGGATTGTTTGTCATTGTTATTCAGGTGTGCCCAGGGTGCCTGTCAGGGTGACCTGTTATCAGTAGGGTGCCTGTCATCGGTCTCGGTAAAACAAATATCATCTGTGTTTTTTGGTGGGAAAAAAACACTTGGTGTGTCTAGTTGCTAGTGCTGGATTGTATGACCACAGTGGATTCTTATGTGGGACTCAAGGATAGATTTTGTTTGTTGCCTACTTGACCTTCTTCACATCCCCAAGTTGACCATCGACTTGCACGGAAGTAGCCTCAAATAGCCTGAATATGTGGCACCATGAATGGCAATGACCCACGATCCCTTCCGGGGATCGTGGAACATGCCACCAGGGTCAGAATGAGATTGCTTTTGATGCTAGAAATGACAGAAGGAACAACATCATCGCTTTATACAAGAGTATGCCCCCCCTTTTCCGCTTCAAACTCAGAATCATCATAAGATGTTGGTCGACCGATTGGCCAAACCGCTGTGAGATGAAGGACCGCGCTGAGATGTATGTGGGCGAGGATGTTTCGCCCGACTTCTACGCGTGGGTCTTCCCGAAGTGCGACCACGTGGCTGTGGGCACCGGCACCGTGGTGGACAAAAAGGCGAGGGGGAGGGATGGGGGAGAGATCACCTGGTCGGAGGGCCAAAAGCACCACTGTTCATTCGGAAGATGGTCCTCTCAGGTGCCATGTTCCACTTCCATGATGATTCCAGTGAGTGATTGAGGATACAATAGGTGGAACACATCCCTTCACCAGCATCTTGGGAGCCTGCATCTTCGGTGGGGGATATATAGGTGATCTTTGCATCTTGAGAGCCATCCCTTCACAAGGGCTTACTCACCTGTCCAGCGAACTGTTGCAGGATGCTACAAGAAGAGTTTTCTTTGCATGCTGTTCAGGAAGGAGATGAAGATGTCAGGTGGAAAAGAGCTTCAGGACCCAAGCTTGAAGCACAGGTCTTGAGTTGCTTGCCTTCAGAAAGTGTTTTTACATCAAAGCAGTCAGACAAGACTTGCAGACAAGACTTGCCATGCACCCAAGCCCGCGCCCCAAGGCCCAAGGCATCCACCCACCAAGCACTCCACTCCGTCCGTCACACCCACTCCGTCCGTCCGACAGGGCATCAAGCTCTACCAGCAGGGCATCCGCGACCGCGCCGCGCCGCGGATCGAGGGTGGCAAGATCATCCGAGTGGAGGCGCACCCGAAGCTTGGTGCGGGCGGATGACATGAACATGAACTGAGCGTGGATGACATGAAATGGGTGCGTTGCGTCGTGTAGTATATATGTGAATGTTTCTATGACATGTGTAGTATATATGTTGTTGTGTAGTATTGTTGTGTTGCGTAGTATATGACATGAAATGAGTGTGTTGTGTAGTATGCCTAAAACAACTCCAAACACTTCTTGTAAGCAAGGTGTCTGGTAGTCGTCCTCACCTTCTCAGGTGGTGTGAGACTGGGGGAGAGTAGGGTAGATAGGGAGGTCTTTGTGGCTTTAGTGGCTTTCCAACTTGTCTTAGCCCGAACCGACCATGCCGCCAAAGGAGGTTTTCCTATTTCAATACCCTGCATTAGTGGGGTGTTGAAGATGTTGGCAGGACTTTGCTCCAGGTTCCATTAGTCCAGCACCCAGCTTTACATCCGGGGGGAGTTTTAGTTAGAAAGTTGAGGTTAAGCAATGACTCCAAGAGGGGATGTTCTTAATTTCCCTCCGGGTGAATCCCCCTTGGGACTATGAAAACACGTCTTGTGTTTCCAAGTAGGATTCCGTAGGAGCGCTCTTTGGTCCCTTAGGTTCCATGTGGTCCACACCACCCTTAGAAACCATCGATCCCACATTTGCACGCACAAAACACATCTTTGGTGGGTTGTACTTTGGAAGATCGTTTCAATGTTCATCCCATCTTTGGGATATTTGGGTTATTTATATATATATATATATCGTTATTGTTTGTATATATTATATCATAGTTCATTGGACTTTCAATATATTAAAGCTCATGATCCCTGGAGATTGCCCTTGAGGCCCTTGCTTGACATTCAAATGAAATTCCAACTAAACTCTAAACATGACACAACCTCCTGATCTCCAACCTACCCCGGCAGTCTCATCCCATGTTTCTATGTCTCCAATCTCATGTCCTGCAACATCATACCAACACAAACACACCGTGGGCGCACTCGCGGCGCGCACTGCCGCGCACGGCCGAGGATCCCGGAGCATCCGCGCCCTTGGCGTGTGAAGGACCGCTCCATCCTGGTGGGCGATGCCGCGGGCTACGTGACCAAGTGCTCCGGCGAGGGCATCTACTTCGCGGCCAAGAGCCTGGCGGCCCAAGAGCCTCCGTCGTTCTCTTTTTGCACGAAAGGATGGGGTTGTTATAGTGGGTACTTGTTCTTGCTTTAGTGGGTTTGGTATATGGTTTAGTGATGTTTATCAAATATTACAAATATACATATATATATATAATTATGTGGGTGACCGAAGAATAGCCAAGTAAGACTTTTGGCAAGCCGTTTTCCCAAAGTGCTTTTTACTTTTATTTATCTGGTCCAATTGTAGTGACAATTTGTGTAGGACTCGACATAAGGATCATATTATTGGCAGTGGCTCAAAATGTTGGATACCATCCAAACTATTCCCAATTCACTCACTTGTAAAGTAAAAACTACATACTAAAACCTGTGTGTTCCAAGTCTCAGATGGGTTACTCCATTCCAGTCGACGAGGACATCAACCAAACTCAACGTAACCTGGGTGACCTGGGTGGCCTGGGTGGCCTCTTATTCCATTCAGAATTCACCTTACAAGCCTTTCTATTCTAGTCGGAGTTTCTAAAGGGAAATTCCTGGTCGGACCCTTGTAAACATGTGAGGATTCTTTGGGTGTGTCGCTATCGGATCTCTCACACTGGCCAGGGAAAAGGAGAAACTACGACTGAACCAGCAGCACTAGAGTGAACTACGCAGTGTACTTGATTATAAGCATGTGTAATATGTTTTGAGCGAAATTAATGATACCTTCAGACCAAATACCAACATACACCCCCAGATACCACACTAGTGGAATGATCCGCCTCCCCAACTTCGATGGTCCACTTGTGTTGGCCGATGACGGCTTTCAGTCCTTTTCTGAGTGCCACTGGGTGCGTTACTCCCCCTCTTCGTGGGTCACCACGACGGGCCGGGTGCCAGCCTTTGTGCAAAGAGGGCCAACAAATGCAGAGGGCTTCGGGCAAGGATTATGAGCCTCTTGATTGTTCGATGACTGTTGCTTCTTCTCTTAGTAAGAGGATCAAGCCTCACTTTAAGCAAGGAAAGAACACCAAACACAGTGACAAGCGCCACTCTGGTTGCGCAGTCCGTGAAAGAATTGTCCCGTATAAATCGTGAACGAATCCATGCGATTCTTTGTTGGCTCCAGTGATCCCAACTGGGAAGGTCGTTTCACGTTTTCTTTGTTTTGCATGACAAATGTTTTATTACTGTTTTGTTGCGTGCATTTGCCTTTATAGGTTAGGTCAGAGATGTGCAGAGCACGCTGGTAAGTATAACGTCTCAACACTGGTTTTTAGCCTTCATTTGTTTCTCTCTCTCTCTCTCTAATATATATATATAGGTCGCCGCAATTCAATCGCCGCTGAGCAAAAAGGACTCGTCAACGACCCACCTGACCGTCAGGTGGGCGCATGTGTGCCGAGACCATTGCGCCTTGGACGTCTTGGGCGTGCCGACCGTGGGCTCATGGCTCTTTAATGCGATCAACTAACCGTTCTTTGTTGGCGCCCACACAACAATGGCTGGATCAATGCACAGGCTTTGCTGTTCACGCCTAGCCATGTCTGACCTTTTACTCCTGATCAGGCGTATCTCTCATCATGTTCCCGAAGTTGTCAACAATAACTTGACGGTGAGAATTTGATTTGGGGTGTTATGACCCGGGTCACTCCTGAGCAGCGAGAAAAAATATCTATCCGGCTGGGACTGGGATGGGACAGGGAATAGCTCGTCACCAGACTTTTGATGATGGATCGCTTCATCGAACATCACCGACATCAGACCTTTGCAAGTTTGGTGGCATGATGTTAATTTTTGAAAGATCCAATCATCAAACTAATATTCTGGCTGGGCGGGATGAAGGTCATGAAGACGATTGAACTTTATGATATGAGCTGCACGTACACAATTTATATGCATCATTTCACCATGTCTATGTTTAACCTGGTAAACATCGCGTTTGTGAATGTCAGTAGTAAACTACAGCTTTGACGTACAGGGACCCGATATGGGGTACAGCCGGGCCAGACCCTCATACCTGCAACTTCGTGGTTGTTATTTTTTGGGTCGGCAGTTCAACATACCTTTATTTGGGTCTGTGAACCACACAACCTCCGCAACCGAAAAAGCACGTTCAGGTAGAAACACCCGTGGCTCACCAATCAACGATCCTAAACTCTTGTGTATAAACGCCCATGGAATATCAGACAACTAGAGAAACATCCGGAGTCTCACAGATAAGGCTGTGACTCCAAAGGATGGTTTTCCACGCCGATCCAACATCAATCACACTGAGGAAGTTCCAGGCGTGGAGAAGTCTGGGGTTTCAATCCCCCAGCTTTCGGCAGCCGGGGGCGGTTTGGAGCGTTGGAGTAGCTGGATACGGTCCATTCGACCCTGCACGGATCCATTCCCCAGTGAAGCCGCCCCAGGTGAAGAATTCCCAGCAGGGCGCCCGCATGATCGACGAGGTGCCGAGATCCGTGCACGTCACCACGTCGACGTCACGCAACACGCCGGGGTCGGTCGGTTCTGCTTGGGGTTCGGCAAACCAAGAAGCACAGCTAGGGTGTCACCACTGGTGTCACCATGGCGTCGACGTTCTCCTGTACTCCTCTGGAACACGCGCGATCGACGTTCGGGAGTGGCTTGGACCGAGCGCCAGGCAGACCTGATGGAGCACCTGCGCGAATGGGACGGCAAGTGGCTTGGACCAGTCCTGTGTGGGACGACATAGGGGGTCTACCCCCACCAGTCGACCGGAACCCGGTGTCCATGGGTGTGTTCTCCATCCGTGGAGAAGTGCAACTGAAAAGGATCCTGTTGGATGTCAATCCGGTGCAATGTTTACATCTTTTAGAGGTTGTTGAAGAGAACTCTAAAGACTTTGTGAAAACCTTGTTGTTCAAGAACACATGTGAGATATGGTGCACATGAATTATGCCAAAATGGCTGCAGGCTGCAGACCCATCGACGCTGCATATATTTGCATATCATGATCGACGCTCATATGCACCTTCGCCTCCTCGTATAACTGATGCAAAGGATGCTCAGGGTTTGTTTACTCCATTGGTGTTCATTACCTGTAAAGCATTTTTGAAGAACACATCCCTCCTCATGACAGTCACCTTCATAGCGAGCAGATACCACTCAAGAATGCAAACACCTTTGGCCCAACCTCATCCTAACACTCCAAGCCCCCAACAAACACCGGATCCGCCTGCATGCCGAACACCTGTGCAAAGCACCTGTGCTGCACTCGAGCAATCGAGTTCTCCAAAAACAGGCCTCTAAAGCAGGTTGACCAAACCATACCAAGCCCAGGGCATCCAGTTCCCACTACAGCTGGTAACCAGTCCTTATATAGTGGTAACCATACCACATCTTTCAAAGCACTTGGCTAAGTTTTCCAAGAGCGGAGCCACGTGTGTTTAGGTATGGCCCCACCTACCTGGTCCTCGACTTGCTCCAGAAGGTCTTCTACACCAGTGATGCTGCCAGGTGCTCTTCGCCTCGGAGCGATGAGAGCCTCTTCATGCTTGGTGCAAACATGGTGCTAACATGACCCATTATGGCCCTTGGTGTGGAGGATCAGGCAATTGCCTCCTTTGCAAGGGTTGGACATTTGTTGGATTTTTTACATGATTTTAGCATATGGTTTGTGTTTCTTGGGAGAAACATAAAAATATCTTCAATTCAGTTGATCCCTTTTTGCCCTATGGGCACCAAAAGGCGCCAGGCCTCTTGGTCCTTGGCCCAAACTCCTCAACCCTCGGGTGGGACCGCAGGGAGGCTTTGTCGGACGAAGCCGCACCGCAGGGAGAGCTTCGTGGAGCTTTGCGAGGAAGAATATGTGCAGAAGGCGCAGATCCGACGCAGAAACGGCGTGAGCGAACAAGGGGACGTGCGGAACGCGCGGGAACAAGGAGACCTCGGAGATCCATTGGATCGGGCGAAGAAAGAGTCTACCTTTTTTGTCATTGGGAGGTTTTTGGGTGAAAGTGTAAGTTCATGTGTTGCGGCACACAAATGGCCCTAGGACTGGGGGTTGATGAATCCTCGGGAGATGGATCTTGTGTATACATTGACAGGAGATCACACACACACACAACGCCATTATTTCCATATATTTCCATCGACAGAAACCTCTGATTGACACCCCGCCACCCCACACCGTTGTCGTGCAGTATTGTCAGTTTGGCTGCCATTCCATGAGCTTAGAAGAGGTATTTATTTTTTGGCAAATGTCAGATGTTGAAGATCCTGGGTGACCTCGGATCTAGGTCTATTGCATTCTATTGCTATTTAATATATATATATATATCTTGATTGTGCGGTTCTGTAGATCACAGGTAGTAGAATCATGTGGACTGGTCATGAGACCGGTTGACCCGAATGGTGAAATTTGATGGTGTGTGGCTTGCGAAGATCTCTAAAGCAGTTTCCTGACCAATTGACCAACTGAATTGAGTTGGGTGATGTTTTGACGACCCAAACCAGTTGTGGGATCCTAATGGTCCAAATGAAGGACCAAGAACTTTACAGCTGCCATACACCCTTGCCTGTGGCCCCGCTGGTGTTGAACATCTGAGGTGACCTTTGACTCCTACCTCTACAAGACGGTGCAGGGCAACGATCCTGTGGGCGATCTGAAGTCACTTGGAAGACCATAAAAACATGATGAATGAATCAAATCCCACCACCAAAACGGCCGACGGCCCAGCGCCAGATCTTGAGACATTTCTGCAGTCCAGATCCTCCTGTGGATCAGTCATTCACATGTCACACAGCCAAGAGAAGCAACACCAGTGCTACTGTGGGCTTTGTGGGTTCACCAGCTTTGGTCCAGTGACAGCTCATTTAAATAGGCCCCAATTGAGAGGGTCACTGTCTTCACTGTTTGAGTCCCAAAGGAATAGATTTGTTATTATGATGAATCAGAGGGGTCAGGGCGATAGGAGATGCCACAGAATGTTAGCTCACCACCAAAGTGTAAGGTGGTTCAGACTTTGGGGGAATGATGGCTGGGCGCGGGCTCTAACGGTAATGTTTGCAGGTGAAAAGCCTGGCTTGTGAATACATTCGAAGATCATAGCACAGCATTGAACTTGTTTGTGTTATTTGGATGGACCTTCATTATGGCTATGTTTCCATGCAAAAGCATGGGTGCTTCTTTGCATAAAAGGAACCATTTTTTGTGCAAAACAAGAGGCACTTGCAGAACATGACGGGTCCTTCTTGTCGCTTCTGGCCCTCAAACAATAGAGATACTTGGAGATCGGGTGGACTCTTTTCGTCGCATCGGCAGATCGGCCATACAGCGCACGGGAAAGCGGCCGCGCACAGCGTACCGACGTTGGACTCCGTTGGAATTCACTGGCGCTGGCTGCGCGGGATGCCCAACAAATGCTCGAACTGGAGGGGGGGGAACTGCACTTCTTGGCCGTGAGACGTGAGACCTTTTCCGCTCTGCCACTCCGTGCCAACTTCCCCTCTGCCACTCATGCCACAGTGGGAATCGAAGACCCCAGCAACTTCAGCTCCAAAAAGAAAAAGGGGGGTTGTGGTTAGAACTTGATCATATCCCACACACTCCATGTATGCCATATGCCCACATTGACCCCCAGTCAACCACCCCAACTGATCGGCAGTCCTATGGCAGTCCCATGAGTCGTGTCTGGGTATTGAACATCATGAAGATGTCGATGCACTGCTGCACCGGTCAATGCTTGCCTCGCTTATTTCACGGAAAGACCCAGGTTTGGACGGGTCCGACCGTGAAACACACTCATCAGCGGACGGTCCTACGGACGGTGGGCTTGTCGTATGGGAAGAACACTCACCAACCCCGATGACCCTGTAAATTTTTAACACGCCTGACAAATTTCAGGTTGTGCTTCTTGTTTTTGCTGCGTCCGAAGTGAGGTTGGGCTGGAAGACCCTGAGCTCCTTGTACAAGTTCAACAACCAGAAGACCCCGGACCCCATGCGCACTCTTGCCTAATGTGGGCTTGTGAATACTTGAAGCGGTTGGCAAAGAAAATGGCCAGCTCGGCTTCGCTTTGAGGCCTTCTGAGTGGGTACCAAAGTCTGGCCCGCAGGTTGGACGGCTCCGAAGCACGCAACATCCGCTTCCCGGTGCGGCACGGGTGGGTTTTGGTCCGCCCCCTTTTCCCGTGGTTTTTGAAGCCAGGAGCGGAAATCAGCTCCGAAGGAACACGACGAAATGCGCAATGCTCAGCCCCAAAAGAAGGTCCGGCCTGCGCGGAGGTGCGGAGCGAGAAGTGGCATGAAGGAGTGTGCAATCCGTCTTGGCAGTTCACGTTTTAGCCTCTGAGTGCTACCAAAAAGATCCAACAAAGATACGTAATTACGAACGGGGATCCTGGCCTTACTAGGAACATTCTTACTACTAGGAACAAGAAGCTTCAGAACTTCATTTCAGCCCTCCACGGGTCCGGTGGGCCTTCTTCCCTCCGTTCCAGACGCCCACGACGACCACGCGGTGGAGACGACCACCGGAGACGGCGAGCGAGCCCCTTGTAGAGGCCGGCCGGCTGTGTGAAAGAGTTGCGGTCCATCTTCTTTGCTCCATCCAACACAATGCTCAATATAGTTACGCAATGTTCCTAATGTTGATCCAAGGCATCACCTTTCTAGGGAAGTCGCGTCTTTATGGAGCCAAATGTTTGGTATTGTTCTGTCAAAGCTTGTCAAATGGGTTCTAGTTCTAGCTGTATAGGTTGTCGAACAATGTCAAGGTCGAGCCAACCAAGGTTTGTTTTCTATGTTCTTTTTGTGTGTTTGCATGTGTACTTGATGTGTGCGCAGCCACCGCAAGGCCGGCTGGAGCTTCGCAGTGGCGGGGTACCACAGGCAGGCGGGAGGGTCGATCCTGCCATCCCCGACATACCTTTGTCCAAGTTACATAATGCAGTAGGCTGATTCGGGAGTCTACAATCTATACACAGCTCATTGTAGATGGGTTGTTGGAGCTCAGAATCTGAGCTCGATGATCCTTGAGAATCAGGTCCCTGTTCCCCCGAAAATGGATCTCAAAAAACATCGCATCTCCTGGAATCCGTCTTTGACCGACCCAAGCTGAATCCGTCGTCAACCCAGCTCAGCCTTGCTCGAGCGATCCACATTTGCATGGATCTTCAGGCAGGAGCCAGAGTCCTTTGCCTCGCTGCTGGATCAGATCTTCCGCGGGGTGCTGATCCCAGAGACATCGACTCTGGCTCTGCGAGGGAATGCGAGGGGTGTTTGTGACTCTGACTCTGTTTGGATCATTCAAGAGTTGTACTTACAACTGGCCAGTTAAAGCAAACCGGTGTTCTCTGCAGGGTGGTTTTTATTTTGAAAGGATATTCAATCTACCCGTATAGACCTGTAGAACCCTTGGTTAAGCGCTTAGCCATATGCCTACATTGCCTACATAGCCTCAAAAAGAACCCTGAACGTACTCTGGTTCAAATTGCAAGTGGTGCTTTCCACGGTTCGCCCATAATAGATACTGGGCTCAGTTCTGAGACGGAATAACATAAGAAATTTGCAAGTTTTTGCTGATCTTAGCTCTTGCAGACTCAGCTAACTCATTCTCTTTGCTTTTCGGCATGGTGGTCAGCCTGCATGTGAAAGATGACTCCAAGGCCCAGGGAGTCCAGCGCACCAGGAATGACCACGATTTGTTGCTTTCCTTTCCATTGACCCTTTGTTCTTTTAAAGACATACATCCTTTGCGGCACCAAGTGAGAGAGACAGAGAGATCAAATCTTATTGATAGGTTTAATCATTTGAGGAGTCCACGTATGTTTGTTGTTCTTCAGCAGTGGTTCTTTCATTGCTTGGCAAACTTGTAAAACACCCAGCAAGGCCCGGCAAGGCAGCTGCATATGAAGCATATATTTGCCCTCTTAACATTTGATGCGAACGTGCTAGAACCTTCCAACAGGTGGTGTCACGTGTGATTTTGGATGTTTTTGGCATGCCAATCTCAGAAGCACCGAAAAGGGGAAGGATCGCAAGCTGAGGGGATGGGGGAATCAGGCGTTGTCTTTGCTTGTTCTTCCTGCGTCCACGTGTCCACTGTTGGTGGCAACTGTTCACCGAAAAAGAGGCGAGGAAAACTCCAATGTTCCATTTGTTCACTGTATGCACTGAATACATTACCCATACACTCCATGCATGCCATTGTGCCATATCGCTGTTGGGGTGGGAATTGGAATCGAAACTAACACGGCAGAAGCTCGGCCCTGTGGGGGATTGGTGGGTCCCCAACTCCCAGGTCACCCAGGACCACTGGTGAGACATGTTTTCAGCTTCCCAATTCCAAGAGCAGTCAAGTCAAACTCGTTTATTCACCCCTCATCGTCCCCGCATGATTCCCCCAGAAATTCTTAACTTTGGGCAAGTCTTTGTCCAATCTGACCAGTGGCTTGCGTGTCAGCTAGTTCGTGGTGATCCACAGTGCGCGTATCAGTCCATGTATCCCTTTGCCTTCCCCCAATGTCTTATTTTTTACAGTCCATCGAAAGAAAACCCTGGGGGACAGAGAAAGATCTCAGTCCTTCAAATCCCATGTTTTTTTGTTTTGCTCTATACAAACCAACACCATCAACAGGAGACGTGAAAGAATGCAGCCCTGGCGACCATTGGCAGGTGCCCACGGTCGCTGCACCATCCACGGTGACCGACCTCGGTCGACCCGGTCGGTCGCCCAGGCCGCCGGGACCTCGGTGAAGCTGGCGCAGCTCGCGGAGCTGGTGCAGGAGGCAGCTCGCTCCGGCAGCCAACTGATGAGATGGGGGGCCGGTGTGTTAGATCTTCACATCAAATAAATAGAAGCCTATAAATACAATTCATCCCTTCCACCTATTTGAAAGCACCCCCCCCCGATTAACAAAAACGGGTGTGCATGCGGTTGTTGTTGTTGTTGTTGTTGTTGTTGTTTTTTTAATAAGGGGTCCCTGAAATCGGGGTTCTCCAAAATAGGGTCAGTGGGAGGATCCTTGAATCATTGATTTACCAAAAAGTCACCCAGGAAAATGTTATATAAATCATGTTTTAAACTCGTATCAAAAGTTGAAAAAATCTCGAGATCAAAGGGTCTTTCTTCCTTTATTAAAATAGTGATTATTCATTAGACTAACAACGAAAGCTTTCGAAAGATGAGTCCGTGCCATTGGGGGAAGGAAAACCTGCTGGTGTAAACGCGGCGTGTCATGGTGGGTAGACAGGCTGGACAGAGGTGGGCAGTTAGGGTTGTTTTTGGAACCTAATTAGAAGAATACACCAAAGCCGACCATGTTGGTAGTTTACTAGTACCAAATTACCGTCTTTAGGGTTGTCCAGCATGGTGTATTTTAATAGGTACTCGGGATTAATTACATTAGCTACTATAGAAACTGCTTTGGTTCGTCCCCAAAAGATCGTGTTCCTTCTTGTTCCTTGAGCTATAATCATGTTGATAGCAGGTGTACTCTTAAAGGGAGAATGAACAAACCTTGTGAAACGCCAATGTCCTGTCCTAAAGTCATCAGAGGATCCTTTACAACGCCCATGTTAACAGTGGGAGTCTAATGGATTGCATTGTCCTGTTCTTTCCAATTGCTTGACCCTGCTTGACCCTTAATAGGACTCGGAGTTCATGGGTGAGTCACCAAGTGTACAAGGATGCACGTTTTTGGGTCGGAAATAGAACAACCTGGTAGCGCTAATCTTATCCTGCGTATAACCTGTGAACCTTTGGTATGGAAAACGCAGTCATTTCGGCCTTTCCCCACAATCCGCCATGGGTCGGTTGATGCGAGTTTCTCAGCTTTGGAACTTCATAGCGTCCCGCTGAGCTGCGAGATCTGAAGCTAAAGTGAGTGAACCAATCCCAACCAAAAACATTCATTGTTTGTCCAGTTGTCGGGCATTCCTTGCAGTGTTGTTGTTTTCTTGTGTTCCCCTCTTTACAGATGTCCCACGAGGCAATCAGGGACGCCTCGCCTCTTTCCACATTACTGTACTTGTTCTTGCAAGTGTTTGACCGACACCCTCGCGCAGTCTCAGGCTCCTGAAGTTCTTAGCATTTGCCGCTGTCCTGATCAGGCAGGGAGGGAGTTAACTTTTCAGAGGGGTGGTGTTTTTTGATGTTTGTTTGTTTTTTGTTTTATTGGAGGGTTGTGGTTTCAGTGGACAATTTTAAAGCAACTGCTGACGGTTTCTTTGCTGTGACTTCTAGACACAGGCCGAAACCACTGCATGCAAGGTGGACTCTTGATGAATACAACCCTGCAGACATGGATTGTAAAACCTGTTCAGGTTTGGGGGTTGAAATATACATCAAAAATCAAGAGTCTACTGTGGCCATTGATGTCCATTCAGGAAGCCAGTCACGTGGAAACTCTTCCACCGGTCACGTCAAGAAACACATCTGGTTGCTCAACGCGCGTCCTCTATTTTTGGAGTTGTTTGTATCCTTTTGGTGGCTTTCCTTTGGGCTGTGATTTTATGTGTCTTTTGTTTCTGCAGAAAAACTGATGTGAGAAGTCTAATACAGCACCTGCTGAAAGCTCCATGTGTGATTTTTGTTCCCTCCTCTCTGGGTGAGAACCGCAGAATGATATGCAGAATTGTTTCCTTCGACAAAGCACGTTGGGACAATCATGTCAGTGAGAATGAGGAAACGATAGGAAAAGCGTTGCCCAGTGGTGCCCATGCTTCCAGCCTTCCATGTAGGACTGGGCCATTGATACAGGGGAAGGAAGACATGCACGTTTGTGGAAAGAACCCCTTCATGAACTGGATAGCTTCGCAACTGGGCATCAGGTTCACCTCGTGATAGCGAGGTCGTGATGCGAAGTGATGGTTGCCGGATTGAAAGTAAGAGTGTAATCATGATGTACTCTGTGTTGGAGATGCCAAAAGCCCACGGCTCATGGTGGAGTAGCATCAAGCCAATAACCAGCCCTCTTGGAGGTGCAGGTAAGTGAAAGTGTGGGTGTTTTGCTGCCA